TGCGTAATTCTCAACATGGCGCCTCGTTTCGTGTATCGTGGGACTGGCGGATGGCAGCGGACGACCGGGCGTGGGACCTCTACTTCAGAAGTGTCGTTCGCGGTACCGGCGAATTCTGTTTTCCTTAGAAAGAGAAATGTTTGACCGATCAAAAGAATTCGTATTCATCCCTTGCGACCCACCCGATCAGCAAGCCGATTGCACGAAGACGTGGCCGAGCCGTCTTCCCTTCTCGTGGCTGAAGACATCGCTCGCGCAAACCGTATAGCACGAAGTGCGTACTTCGAGTTGAATATGCACGCGTACGGTTTCTTTACTAGGTGCGAATGTGGCCAATGCGTGGTGCTGCCAAACCTCGACCCGGGAGTGCTTTTGCTGGAGGAAATTCAGCAGCAAACTCTACAGTCGACCGGCTGCATTATTACGAAGAGTTGCCCCAGTAGCTCAGTGGAAAAATCTCCGCTTCACACGTAGCGGGCACGGGTTCAATCTCTAGTGTGGGCGTACCTTTCCATTTATTTTTTCAAACATTTTGCGATGTTTACATTTCTTTTTTTACAATTATCGCTGAAAAAGCAACAACAACAACAATTGTTGTGGACGATACGTCGCTGAACTAAATGGTGTGGGATGCCTTTTTTGACACCTGCGAACTCAGTGTAGTCACTTTCCCCGAAATGCAAGGCGCATGCGAATCGGGCAGCGTCCGCTTTCCGAGCTTCCCGTAACTGTTCTACAGGAACCGCAGCCAGCCATTGGTCCCGATCCCGTCGATCTTTCGGAAACTTGTGCACTCTCCCGCACAATGCCACTTTCAGATGCAGGACAGGTGAGGCAGATTTTCACGCAACGTCCTGGGGGTATTCTTTTCGGAGCTGATCACGCGAATTCACCACGGGCACTCACCACTAATTTACAACACTTAAATGTAAAAAAACAAGACATCTTGAAGTACAGAACCGCGAGCGGAACCAACATAACTGCAAAGGAATCGCACGGCGAAAAATTCCCGCAAAGGAATTCGTCTGCTATACTTGCAAAAAAAAAAAAAAAAAAAAAAAAACGTGCACGGTTGGGTGTAGCAACGTGACTTCCGGCTCTCTCATCCTCCATATTTCTCCGACCTCCGTGCTAAGATTTCGGTTTCAAAGAGGTGCTTTTTTTGTTTTTGCTTTATTAAAAATATACGTGACTCTGTAGCAAAATTTTAATTGGGTAGTCTGTTGACAGCATGATAAATCGCTTTAAAAAAAAATAAAAAAAACATTTTGGGGGGTGTTAGTGTCTTTTTAAAGGTAACAATAAAAAATTGAACTGTTTTATACGTATACATAAAAATTTTACGTATCCAAATCACAGTACATTTCACGCATTTCAGATGCACTTGCAACCATTGTATGTAATTCAAAATTTAAAAAAAAAAAAAAACAGCGCAAAAAGACGAGGTGACGACGAAGTGACACGGACGCAGCGCTGCGTCGGTGTCACTTCTTCTAATGCTGTTTTTTTTTTTTTATTTTTTTTGCGCTGTTTTTAATTCTGAATTATGCACCAACTCGCCCAAGCTTCAACTTTAGCATGGTATGCAAGCAAAACATGTATCTATATAGGCAGCAATTAACTATAAAAAGCACAGAAAACATATAAAAATACAAACTAGAAGAAATACGTAAAGAGTCCTTCCGTTCTCACCTGCGAGAACACAGTTGATGAGCATAGTATAGTTCAAGACGCGCTGCTTTCGAGCTGAGAACAGGCCGGTGTGCTGGCTTCTTTTGTAGCTTGATCGCGTCTTCAGGACTCGAGCGCCCTGGCAAGGCCTGTGGTGCTGCAGATAGTGAGGAGGAGGAAACTTTATCATTCTTCCGGGATCAGGTATTGGGGGTGGTGGAGTCCCAGAGGGCCGCCGCGATCGCCAGGGCCCGGGAGGTGGTCAGGACTTGGGCTGACTCCTCCGGGTCGCGCAACATCTGGCACGCGACGAAACGGAATTCGCTCGAGGCCAGGTGTCTGCGAGAACAGTTGATGAGCACAGTAGTTCAAGATTCACTGCACAGGCACCGTAGACCATGTTGAGCGCATTAATGAATTGTCAGAGTTCGTAACACTCTCAAGGCTCGTTGGCACATTAGTGTTTGCTTAGACCGACTTCTTGTGATCTCTTACGACAAGCGAACACGCTTTCACGCTGGCGCCATGTACGAGGTGACCCTGAAACTGCATTTCACTATACAGGGTGTGTGGGCCACTTTCGGCGCCAGGACAGGTGGACAGAAATACTTCCCGGTTTCCTATGTTTACATTCTGTTTGGGTGGGTGCGCGACGACTTTTGGTTCACTGGTGAGCAATTCCGTGAGAGCTGCGCTCTAGAAATTCCGCAGTGTCGTGCTCTTAAGTTGCTGAGCCGCCGAGCCTCGCTGATCGCATGACGACAGCATTGTCAGACGGTGTTAGCCTACTTCGATCTGCTGCCGATGGATGACGCAACACGACGAACGCTGGAATGCCGTGCCGGCGCCGCGCCGCCTCCACCGACCATCTCCGTACAACGATGGGTCATTACGGCACGTATAAAATGCAACGTGCACGGTGGTCTGAGAAATAAACCTTAAAACACAAAGCAGGCAAGTCACAACAAATTGCGCCTTACAGACTCGCATCGTGCTGAAAGAAGCGCGATAAAAACGTTTGGAAGATTGCTAAAACCAAGACCCCGCTCAGCGACCACTGCGGAAGAGCTCGTCGCGTATATGTATTTATTTATTTATTCATACTGTTGGCCTATTGTCCATTACAGGAGTGGGTTATTAGTAAAATAACCAAATTTTTAAAGCACACTTCCACGAATGATTCAGACACAGATGCGTTTAAACGTATATTTAAACCCAACCAAAACTTGAGTACGCCGCCGCTATCTGGAGCCTTCACCAAATCTACCTTACCACCCAACTTGAAGCCATCCAAAATCGTACCGCTCGCTACATACTCTCTGTATACAATCATACTGCTAGCGTTACGGCTTCAAAGTCCCAATTAAACCTAACTTCATTAGCTACCCGCCGTAAATGCTCGCTTCTCTGCCTATTTCAGAACATATTCCACCATTATCCGGACATTAGATCGATGCTTTTACAACCTCTTCCCCGATCTTCTCGTGGATTAACAAACTCTAACCGTGTGCAGCGCATCTCTGGATTTACTAACGCAATTAATAACTCATTTTTTCCCCTAGCGATTTTAGAATGGAATGTAGTACCCGAGTGCATCGCCTTAATTTTATGCCCTGACGCTTCGGTTTTGCATTTTCTCTTCGGTTTTGCCTCTTCGGTTTTGCATTTTCAAGGGGAATAATGACTGGCTGTTTGCTCTCTATTTTTGGTTCCCTGGTGGATTATTATTGAGGGCGTGTTTGTTGATGAAACAGTTGTTGTTGTTTCATTGTTTTTGCTGTTTCATGGTTTCTTTCGTTGGTTGATATGTGATTAATGCCCCCCTTATGTAATGTCCCCGAAAGAGGACCTTTGAGGGTAAATAAATGAATGAATGAATGAATAAATAAAATAATGCATGAATATAAGCGAACTTAAGTACACAGAAAATAAAATTAAAGAAAAATACATTATATGTGTTGTTTGGCGAGGCCTCTTAGGCTGGCTTCAAAACCTTCAACGGTGTCACATAAAAAAGCATCTTGCAGGATGTTGTTCCACTCAGCTTTGGTTCTCGGAAAAAAAAAATACTTGAAAATGTCGATCCGGGCTTTTATCGGCATCAGCATCTCAGTATGACCGCCCCGAAGCCCTCAAGTAGAGCGATACTTTAAATATCGCAGCGAATCTATGTTTACCCTTTTGTTTTGGATCAAATGCAGTAGTTTTAATCTGGCTATTTCTCCTTCGTCCTTCGAATGGCGGCAAGTTGAGATGAGTAAGCATCGCACTGACAGACTCAGTCCTTCGATATCCGGATGTGATAAATCTAGCAGCTCTTTTTTGTACCTTTTGTAATTTTTCAATCAGTTTTTTTTTATTGTATGGGTCTCACACTGGGGGGGGGGGGGGGGGGGGGGGGTGCTCGCATATTCCAAGACAGGGCGTACAAATGTTAAGTAGGCAGTTAATTTTGCTTTCTCTGTTGCTAATTTTAGGTTACGTCTCAAGAACCACAATTTTATTTCAGCGGTGCTTGTCAAGTTGTCGATATGGAATTTCCAACTCATATCTCTAGGCGCGGTTACACCTAGGTATTTAAAATTACTGACGAACGCTAATGGACCACCGTCAAGTTCGTAATCAAAAACAAACACGTTTTTAATCTTATTTGTGATTCTTGACAATACAGTTTCGACGCTTGGAGGAGGTGGGTGCCCACCGCCGATGTCTTGCCATTTTAGAAGCAGTGGAACGCGTTTAGGAACCAAGCTAGTCGAACAGGTTGTCCTGAAGATTCGCCCACGATAACTTCGGCACATTTGTCATATCCTGTAGAAACATTGGCTCTTGCTTTTCAGCCAAGGGGCCGTCTAGCCCGTGTAAGTAAATTTCATAAGGTATCACAGTTAGTCCTCGGCGGTTTAGACTCCTAAAGTGTGTGATACTCGTTGAGTGTCCTCAAAAACAAGCAAAAACAATAGCCGACCAAAAGTAAAATACCCTCCCCGGAAGTTCGGCCATTATATGTTTTGTTCACCTACACGCACCCTTTATAGCGAAAGTTTCGTGTAATCTGCGTGAACAAATGTACATATCTCTTGGTGAGGAATGGTCCTTTATAATATTGTCAAACGTTTTTTCGAGTTAAGAAAGAAAGAATGGTGCGCGAAAAAAAGTAGGAAATATGCGGAAACTGGAGGTGTTCGAAGGCTATCCTAATGATGGATTAAAAGAAATTAAAAAAAAAAAAAAAAAGCTTAAGGCACACGGTTGTAAGCAGTTGCAAGTGTGTAAACCCAGATGGGCGATTCTGATTCTTTCTTTTTGCCCCTCTTGTTTGCCCCCAGGCCTGTGGTACAGCCCGGAAGCGGGTTTCACGCGGTCGTGCCTGTCGCTGTCTCAGGCCTGCGTCACCGGGACCGTCCGACTGGACCTCTTCAAGGGCCAGGTTTACATCCGAGGCCGCTGGGCTCCCAACTCCCTGTACAACCGGGAGCTGGTCAGGTGAGCCGGGCTGTCACTTCGCTGCAGTTGCCCGAAAATCAATTACCAAATAGCGTTACTCGTTGGTTCATCAAACATTAACGCTTTACTGGGATTTGTTACCGTCCTGCAAACGAACTTCCAGTTACCGTTACTCCCCCAACGAATGTCATTTTTTGCGTTACCTTAAATTTCAGTATTTGGCAGCGATAAGCCGCACTTACTCACTTCGGCAGCAATTAAACTTTTGCAGAGCTATCTGACAATATTTTATCCTTCGTTTATTAAATATGTAGGATGCAGCGCGGTCTTCATGGGGCGTTGGCTCTTTTAAGGAACCAAAAACGCGACTAATTTCAGTCAGAAGCATCGAGTATAACGTAATTTTAAATGCAATGCCGTAAAATAGTCACGGAATTACTCTTTAGCCGTTTCGAAAAGTAACGAGCAGGTTAGTATGGTACTAATAAAAGTAACGTGTAACCAGTAACGTCGTTACTGGTAACGCGTTACTTTCAGAACTGCTTTGCTTCTGGCGGTAGGGTTTTGTGAATGGTATCCTTTCAAAGCCGCTTGTAGAGTTCGCTCCACATGCACTCGACACCCATGACGTTTTGCTCTGCGGCGTTCTCTTCCTCATCGCCGTTTCAGCATGGACGTGCAAGGAGAGTACACGCCTTCCGACGCCGATGGCTTCATCAAGATCCAGGCTCTCAGGTGAGAAAGCCCAAGAGGGCCAGATGTTAATGACGCCGACGAGAAGCGAGGACCCGGGGTCCGATAATGGCAGCGCTCGTTCGGAACAGGTAGGAAGGAGAAAGTGAGCATAGGCGTAGACTACGGTGGGCATCGGGGCTCCTGCCCCCCCTGGTGAGATCCGGGGGGGGGGGGGGGGGAAGAACCATCCTGGGCCCGGGCCCGGGCCATGATCCTTACCGAGACGCTGTTTACGTGCCATGTGACGAGCTTCTAGTAGTGGCATGTATACAAAAGAACGCCCACGTTGCCTTTATTGACAAAATACATGGGAAATGGAATCTCAGCGTGCTTTCGTTAGCTTCAATCTCCAGTCCTGCGAGAAGGTAACGCGCACCCCGCCCCCCCCCCTCCCCCGGAGAACTTCTTATCTTATCAGCACACGCGCAAATTTTAAAATATTGTTTGGATTTCCGAAGAAATGTTGCCATTTCAGAAGGCTCTCAAGAAGGCTTGCCCAGTGCCGTTTTTTATATTATATTCTCTTATTATTATATTTTCGAGCGCAGCTCTTGGGCGCCCGTTTCCGCGTATAGCGGCGTCTGCGTCGCCGTCGGCGTAACCGCGCGCGTTGCATCATGGAACGTCGCCAGTCCTATACACTAATTCAAATCTCCGCTAAATTTAGCAAAGAAACTGAATTGGTGTGTAGGTCTATGATGTATCATAATGCAGCACTGCGAATTCAGTTTCCCCGCTAAATTTAGTGGGAATCGAATTGGTGTTGAGATCACGTGACGTAAATTTTCCCGCTAAATCTAGCTGAGAAACTGAATTTGATCATATGTAAAGGGACACGAAGTCATGTGACGTCATCTTCCCCGCTAAATTTAACGGGGAACTGAATTGGTGTTGAGGTCATGGGGCATCAATTTTCCAGCTAAATTTAGCGGGGAAACCGGGAGGAGGGAGGGGTATAGAGGAGGAGAAGGAGAGGGTACGGAGGAGGAGAGGGCACGCAGGAGAAAGGGAGGGTATGGAGGAAGAGAAAGGGAGTTTATGGAGGAGGAGGGGAGGGTACGGAGGAGGGGAGGATACAGAGGAGGAAGAGGACACAGAAGAGGAGGAGGGTGCAGAACCAATACCTGAGGAGAGAGATCTGTATTTGTACATATATACATTTCTTTCTTAATTTGTTTAGCACAATATATCGCAAAATCTAAAAAAAAAAAAAATTGGGTTGTGTATACACCCTAGAACTTGGTCTGCCTCCAAGGGCGACGAGTCTCCCAGCTGTAGATGAGCAATTTAGTCAGTGCAGTACAACCGCTAGCATGGGGTCTTTAACGTGCACCACGCAGTACTAGTGATACACGACCGCACGCCGGTACAATGCTCATCCAGATCGAAACAGGCAGGGGCGGAGATTGAACCCAGTATCCCGGGTTCTGCAGCGCGAGCTTCCACTCCACGTGCTCCGAGCTGGTGTGTGCTAGCCTACTCGGCCACCGATCCCCCCTCGCCAAATCTAAATACCTCAAAAGCTGCGGTCTAATTTCGCGTTACAGAGATTTGTAAACGTCTTTCTCTTACTCCTCAGGGTTCTCATTGCTCCTACCCCCCTTGAAATTGTAATACTGATTCAAGTGTCAAACTGCATCAGTCCTTCTTCTTCTTCTTCTTTTTTTTTTTTACAGCGGTGTAATAACACGTTGTGTCCCCGAGCAAACTAACCTTGCGCAAGCTGGACGATGTCTTCAGAACATATTGGCTTCATAACCTTTATCTTTGTGGTTTTTGCTCTTTTTTGTCGGAGCACAAAAGATTATCTGTCTGGATGGCTTTGTTGGCGACTCGAACCCGCTATCGGCGAGCATTGTTTCGTTTGTTTTCCTTTCCCAATACGTCAATACCGGATTTCAGTTTGTCAGACAAGCTGCCCGAACGGCTCGTATCCGCCAGCTGTTTGGTAACGTGAACGCCTTGGCCGAAGGTACGGCAAAATATTTTGCCGGGAAATGACCACCCGAATTAGCCATAACCTTGACCGATACTGCACTGTGTGATTAGCCTTCCTTTGGTGGAAGGTGCGTCAGAACGATGGGCGCTTCCATCGAGGTTTCATGTGCACTCCCAACGCTTTGATTAATCTCGCAGTCGGCGTCGACGAAGTGCAGAGAAAAAATCAGGAAGTATATTCAGGCCCCTGCAGGTGCTCTTCGGGAATCGTATACGAAACTGCACGCTCTTTTGCTGTTCGCCCTTCGGAAATGTATATATCACAACAGTTTCGGAAAGTGCAGCACCGGAACAGCAGCGGAGCAGTCCTTCACGCAGCACATGAGAACCCTTGCCCATCAGATCGCTCACCAAACTCCGCTTTATTTTCTCTTCCGCCTCACTCGTTTCAAGAGTATTTTCGACGTAGTGAAAGCAATGGCTACGCTAAGAATTCTCCAAACTGTGACGTAACTCATCAATTGTTCGCGGATAATCGGTGCGAAGCTCAAGCACCTGCGTTTCAAAAACTTTGTTTTTTTGAGGAAACTTAAACTGGCGTCAGCATCAACGAGGTTGAGTGCATACAAAACTCTGATTAGACCAGTCTTAGGATACGCCACTGCGGTATGGGATTCGTGTAATAAAATCGACTCTTCTAAATTAGAATGTATTCAAAACCAGAGTTTACGTTTTATTGATGGAAGATACAAAAGGACCGATTCTATTTCTTAAATGTTGTCATTGTCGAATACATTGTCGAATACTGAGTCATGTTCCCGACTTAAGCTATCTGGATTCTAGACTAAAGCTTTTGTTTTATATTGTGAACAGGCAAACTGGTATTGGCCCTTCCGCGTACTTGCTCCCACCGTTCAAACAGTTCACAAGAACAAACCATTCGCGCCACATCCGAGCCTTTTGATCGTCGCTCATTGTGTGTAAATATTCCTTTTTTTCCAAGAACAGTAGATGACTGAAACATTTTAGCAAGTGAGGTAGTTGAATGCGCCACAGTTGAACAATTCTCAGATGCCTCTTCTTTACATTTATGAACGTGTTGCGCTCGCACAAATATTTTTAAAGTCCTTGTTTATAGCATATTTTCTTTGGTTTTTGTTAGTGCTTTAAAAATTGTCATGAGTCATCTCGTGGTGTTGTATTTTATCATTATTCTGGTTCCGCAGTGGTTATGGCGCCAGATATTTGTTGATCGCTTCTGTCACTGTGCTACTTTATACTGTGGTCTATTGCCTTGCGAAATGAACGTCCATGGTTGTAAATTGTCTACAGTTCACTCTCTATTGTTCCATCCTGCTTAGGTTGCAAATGACCAGCAGTTAATTTTAAATTAAAAACGAACACACAATGGGAGCGTGTTTAGCGAGAGGTAACAATGACCGACACCTCACTAAATTTAAAAGCAGCAAAAAAAAAAAAAAAAAAAGAAGTTAGGGCAGCATTTTGACATTGATTTGCGGGAAAGTTTCAAATTCATAGCTTTTAATAAAGCGTTTATGTAGATTTGTTTTTAAACCCGTTTTTTTTTTTTTTTTTTGCAGGACGTAGCAGGCAAGCACGGTTGGGAAGACGGCATTTCTGATTTATTAATTATTGTTTGCGATTAGAGCGGGTACACGAAGACATCAATACCAGAAGAAAACATATGCTTTCATTAATTTATTACAGTCAAACACGGACAAAATATAATAAAAAAAAAAACACCCGCAGATCTTCGACTTGAAATGGCTCAAAGAAAAATCGGCCACTAAACTAAAAGCATAAATTTCTGGGTGCAGATGCCAATTTTTTTAAAGTTATTTTATAATGGCTGAAGAGATTAGGCGAATCAACCTAATAGATGATATTTTCATAGATTTTTTGAAGGCGTTTGATAAAATATCTTGCATAAAGTTACTATACAAATTGAAAAAAAAATATGTAAGAACACACATTTAGTTCAAATGGATTTCAACACACCCTTCAAATCGTCGAAGATTCGTAGTTTATGGAGAACACTGCTCTGACATATTTTCTGTTGACTCTGGCGTCCCCCGGGGATCTGTGCTCGGACCTCTCCTTTTCTTGTTGTTTATTAATGATATAGTAGAAGATGGTTCCGGTTAAAAACAAGTTATACGCTTATGATTGAATAATTTTCTCAGAAATAGCTAGTGCTCCCGATCAACTTTTGTTAAATAGAACTTTTCAAAATATCGCGGAATGGTGTGCAAAACGGCAAATTACCACTAACTTAAAAAAAAGAGGTTTTTATGAGAATTACTTACAAAAGGAATCCGTTGAAGTTTGTTTACAATACTAATAATATTCTTCTATTAGAAGTAACACAATATAAATACATTGGACTACGGATCACTCATAACTTACTGGGATAAAACCGATTGGTTACGTGACATCTAATTCTCTTCGAAAGTTATTCTTTCTTAGAAGGACGCTAAGACGTTCTACCCCTTCCTTGCGTCTTCTAACATATAAAGCTATAGTCTTGCCAAAATTAGATTACGCGGATATCATTTGGGATCCCTTCACCAAGATAAACATTAGCAAGCTCGATTGTGTGCAGAAAAAGGCAGCTCGCTACATTTATAATAGTTTTGGACGTACCTTTATAATCGAACTTTTAACCAGAGCTAAGTCATTATCTCACAGAAATCGGCATTCTCAACTAAAATTTTTCTATCAATTAATAAATGGACATTATAAAATGGATCTGTCTCACATAAAACACTTCTCATCAGACTACGACGGAGGCATGCCCTATCAATAACTCCTTTTCGATCGCATATTGACAATTGCTTCAAGTACTTTTTTTTTCGCGAACAGTGACTGATTGGAATAACCTTTCTGAAAGTGTTGTTATGCTGCCATCATTTTCTTTATTTGAATCCCTCCTAAATTAGTTTTGTCCCTCTGTCAAATATTTTTTCTTTTGTTTGTGCGACTTGTTTGCTATCTTGTATGCCAGCCTCTCTTGTTCATCAATTGTACCCACCCGCTAAAATCCCTTCTCAGAGGTGGCAGTATTAATGAATAGTAAATAAATGAATAAACACTCTATTGTGAAGAAAACAGACATCTATTGCATAGGGTTCAATCAAAGCGAGCAAAGCATTTTGTACATAAATATGTGCAGGAAATGTTGAAAAGTGATTTATACTTAGCATTGTTGGATCTAACTGTGCTCATTGTCTCTCTTGTATCTCTGCTTTTTTTGCACAGGCTCAAGGAATGGCATCGTGTGAACAAGACAGCCGAGCAACCTTGAAAAAAAAAAAGAATTATGATTGCAATGACACCTTGGGTGCCCCTGAGTCTAGGTGCATCCTAAATTAGTAAATAAAAAAAAAACAGGTAGAAAAAAAATGTAGGAAACTTTTTATGAATAAAAGCCCCTATCTGTTATGCTATATATGCGAGGCTCTAAAAATTACACAAGGTAATTTTCTGAGGTAAGTTTCTGAATTAAATATTACTGATTTGAACGAATATTGCATAGTTCGCATTTAATAAATCATAAGTCCCAGTATATTCGAGTTTCAAACCTCCGAAAAGCAAACCAAAATCGGATGCTGGGAAACTTGAATTCTGCGAACAGCCCAACTCGTGAGGGGACGCATTTTCTCCAAGACGCGATTACATGTAGCATTGGGCCAACGGTTTTGATTATTGCAGTTGTTTCAGCACCCGCAATGCCTATATAAAACAAAGAGCTTCTGCATAAACGTCGCCAACAAGTTAAATTATCACGCACTTTCCAGCGGATCCTCGCAAGGTTCACCTGGGTTCGCTGGCTGACTTGCCTGGACTGGCACCGAGCAGCCGAAACTCGGGGAGCGGTTTTTGCAACGCTCAGGTCATTTCGTCCTCATCTCGTATATAATATCATCGCACAATCACCATCACTATAGACGCGGCACCGTGGTCCTCGGTGGTACGGGCTGTTCCCTTTCTGAGGCGCTGCCACTCTCCTGAGCAAATGAAACTTATTTTAATTAAAGACCATTAATGCCGGCCGTCACATGCGGCACGGCGTTGAATATGGTGCTAAATTTGTGTTGCATTTCCTCCTCCCAACGCTGTGGTTTCCTCTACATTCAGAAGGCGTTTGAAAACTCTTCGCAGCAAGATGAATATCATAATCGCGTGCAAGATTTTGGCTGCGTTTGGTCAAAACCTAGATGTAACCGTTTAGTCTGACTCCGTCTACATTAAACAGCGGAAACTAACTTCTAAAAAAAACACGCACGCACGCACGTACGCACGCACGCACGCACGCACGCACGCACGCACGCACGCACGCACGCACGCACGCACGCACGGACAAAGGATATAAATTTTGAAAGCCAATTGCAAGGCCTAAACGGTAATGGTGCTTTTTTTTTTTTTTTTTTTACTCAAGCGTCATTGGAATTTTTTGTTTTGCTTGTTAGCAGTGACTTTATTCTATTGCTTATGTTTCGTTTCTTATTTTGTGGGATCAGTGTAAAAATTAACTTGTTACTCGAATACCCGCTCATTTGAGTTAATAATTTAGGATGGTAGGAAAGAAATCAATTAAAAATATTTAGTGTATTTTATTTGCTTTTTTTCCTTAATATTCTTACGTATACGTGGCCTGGCCGTTTTCACGCACAAGGAGTACTGAATATATCCTTTGAAAATAACTCAAACGGTTTTACGATTACGAAGAAAAACCGGATTTAAAGATTAACTGAATAGGTTCTTGAAAAAAAAAAAAAAAAACGAGTTAGAGATGAATTTTTGTGTATTGTTATCCCGTTAATTTGAATATCACGTTTGTTTCCCCCGAAGATGTAGAACTAAACGCGAGAAAGCACAAAAAAGCCTCCGACCATGCAGTCGTTACGTCATAGCCAGGCATTGCGACCGCCGAACGCGCGTCGCTCGTGTGGGCAACGCGTGCTATTGCAAGCTTGCCACGCATATAATGCCCCGCACTGACACCAGTCGTGACGTCTTTTTCTGACCTTTTCGAAAACAGCAAGAAGGCGCGTGAATAGATACCTTTGATAGGCGCTGGAGATACGCGAGAGCAAAGATTCAGAAAACTCCTAATATGACGTCACGCTACGGGAAGGAGGGGATTCAGCGGTACTTTGAAAATGACGTTCTGCCACCTCCGTGCTCCAAATAAGACTTTCAGCCTTTCCACTCTGGTGAAGGAGGAAGACCAGCGAAGCTGTAGAAATTCTGGAAAGGTTGCGACATCTATGAGCGACGGCGGCAACGAGACAACCGGCAAGCCGGTTGTCTCGTTGCCGCCATTGCTCATAGATGGTGCCGCCGTCTCGAGTTTCGTGTGATCGTTTGTTTGCTGACAGACACGATACTGGGGATACTAGCCCTTAACAGTTGCGCTGTAAAAAGAAAATTACTTCGATATTTGTGATCCTGGAGGCCAAATAGCTAGAGAACCGCCTGAGTTTCCCTTTAAAAGGCAAATCCGCTCAATTCCGGAAATTTCGGAATAATAAGAATTTTTAAAGTAAAAAAAAAAAACACTGATTAAAGTACTACGTCATTTGCATCGCGAAAAATGGGATATATCTTGTCAAACCTCAGCTTATTAACATGAGCAGAAATCGAAACCGAAACTTCGACTCCGTCGGGCAACACTGGCCTCTGGGCGCCAAAAACATGGCTACCACTTGGTACGAGATGTCACGTCATTCTATACGCAGCGACGGGCATGATAGGGGCGGGCCACCGTTCGGGCGGCCGTGTGCCAGGCGCAAGTTTCGTCTGCACTGCAGTCTGCACCACGTTTTGGTGTCAGTACGATATCCGACGACGTCTGCGCAACTTCCGCATTAGTCTGCGCACGTAGTGTGAACAAAACTCCGAGAGACAATATTCACTAACGGTGGGACGAAGGCGGCGGTTGTGGCGCGGAAGACGGCGGTAACGCCGGAACGGCCGGTCGGCTCCCAAGCATACATGGGCAAATTAATTTCAAAATGTAATTCAATTACAATTACAATTACTTTGCTTCAAAAGTAGTTTAACTATAATTACAATTACTACTACGTAAAAAGTAATTAATTACAATTACAAATTACTTCTAAAACGTAATGCAATTACTTTACAACTACTTATTTCTGAGAGCGACCCGACTTGGGCCATATAACTTTAAACGAATTGTTTAGAATGCAATGTATATCATTCCTTGCCCCAATATTTGAGGAGGCTTAAGCATCGCTGCATAAATGTCACGTATTGTACTTTCCTTTTATGAATTTTGTTAAATTCATGATAGAACTTGACAGTTCAGGGCACCCATACAAAAATGTCCTATGGTCGGCTATAGAAAATTCTTTGTACGGTCGGCTTTAGCTATTTGGCCCAATTAGCTAAAGAATTTTCTATGGCTGTCTTTAGCATTTTTTATGGTCGCCTTTATGGGGCTCTTTAGCTTTGTCTATAGCCCTATCGCTGTCCAGCCATAGCGCTCTTTAGCTTGTCGAATGGTTGGCTAAAGACTCCTCTATGGCTTATCCTATGGCTCTCTTTAGCCAGCAAACTCTAAAAAAATTTACTTCAAGTTCCCCAAACTTGTGAACGCTACATGGTAGATATACATACATCTCTGAACACACAGAATACACACAACACAAGCAGAACACTACCCCACACAACAGCAACAACGCAGAAACACCGGACTGCCATTTATACATTCAGTGCGAACGTATGCGATGTTCGCACTAGCTGTATATATAGCAGTCTAATTTTTGAATCCGACTTTCCCGGTGACCCATCATTTGTCTCAAAAACACGGAGAGGCGGAGCAAATATTACTCGTACTTAATACATTATTGGAATTGTCTCTTGGAATAGCCCCCATCTCTTAATTCAACACCCTGACAAAAGCAAATGTAGATCATTAGGCTAATTAACTAAAATTTATTGATTATCTTTTTAATAAGTTTGATGAATCACGTTGACAATGCAGTGATGACATGCAGTACACTGGTGCTGAAGATTGAAATCAAGCTATTGCTTGGTTGCAGTGTTCGGCGCCATTGTAATTTATTTTCACTTTTGGGCGGTAATAACTAATTTTCATTGGGGCACAAATATTTTAATGGATTTTTCAAACAAACAATATTACTGGTTTTCAGGACTCGTTGCAACAGCAGAGAACATATCTTGGGTCATGGTTTGTCACCTACATTACAAAAATGTAGTTTTGATTTAATTTTCTAACGTGGAGTGTTTTTACTAAAAAGTAAGCGCCGGTACTGATTTTCTATAGGCGTGGAAAGAAAATTTATTGGTTCTTGGCCTCTAGACTCGGGGCTATAAATTTTTCTATAGACGAGTAAAGACAAATAATTGGTTTCCAGTATTTAAACTCGGGGCCAAAGAATTTTTTATAGGCGGGTAAAAAACATTTCTTGGTTCCCTGTCTTTAGAAATGGGGCCATATAATTTTCTATTGGCGTCTAAAGCAATTTTATTGGTTCCCAGTCTTTAGAATCTAGGCCATAAAATTTTTTATAGACGGTTAAAGACAATTTATTGGTTCCCAGTCTTTAGACACAGGGCCATAGATTTTTCTATAGCTGGCTGTAGCTGTCTTTATGGATGTCTATGGCCGACCATAGAGGGCTATAGGGGGTGATAGCCAGCCATATAGTTTTCTATAGACAACCATAGACAATTTTTGTATGGGCAATGAAGTACTACATTCTTATATTTTTAATAAATAATAATACATTAGTTCGTATGCTGAAAGACGCCAGACCTCTAAAGAAAAAATTGGGTTGACACACTTTTGTTAGCCCGGCAAATAAAAATGTGACAATTAGGTATATATAAATATTTGACAAGTATAAATATAAAACTAAAGTCTGCACGCGCCAATACGACCGCATTCACATACAAATGTCATGGTATTGTAAATTATTTACATTGAGTTGAAATTATAATGGCTCAGAAATATATAAGAACCGACTCGGAGCTTCCGAATCATTGGTGACAATATTCACAGGTGCGAGGTCAGTCTCCAAAATGCTTATGCACATAATATCCGAAGTCAAACCAACCGGAAATATGCGACAGTACTGGAAATGGACATATAAAACGAAAAAAAAGAGAAAAAACCTTTAAAGACAATTAAAATTTCTAAGCTCAGCTGAAAGCTGAAGCTCACACTTTTTCTCTTTCAATATTTTGGCATGTTTATGCTATTGTTTTCTGCTCGCTCCGCAGACGGCGCCACACGGCGCCGTTGAAGTAGACTTTAAAGAAGATTGCCTTTCAGCCCGCAGTGTAAGCAACAAACAACGCGATACTATTTTTGGTGTGCGTGTATGTGCGTGCGTGTCTATGTGTG